GAGAGAGAGAGAGAGAGAGAGAGAGAGAGAGAGAGAGAGAGAGAGAGAGAGAGAGAGAGAGATTAGCATGTTTGCTTCACAAGGCTGGAAAATATTTCAGCCAAAACCACAGAACTGATGACATTCTGTTTGACTTCTCAGGGACACATCTGCACTGAGCGATTCATTGCGTTCTTGTAATGTTTCTGTTTCACCTGAAAAAAAAAGATTTACTAGCTTTATCACTTTTCAAACTACACATGTACAGCAGTGTCAGCTGTTTGTTGTTCCATCTGTGAAGCATGTTGTTACCATCTACAGTCTCTGGTTTCCTAATAATGTGAGAACAGTTCCTTTGTATTATAGGACTGAACGTTCTGAGCTGTAGTTTTCTTCTGTGGCAAACTGAAAATCAGCTCATGTTCCCGGGAAAACCAAGCAGCTGTTGGTCTCAAAGTCAAAGGGATTACAATTTCATTATATAAGGCATCATTATTTCTGTGTCCAGATGCCATTGAGCACCAGCAGTTTCTCCTGCAAGCATGAACAAAAGCATGTCACCTTCAGAGTTTAGATTTGGCTCTATTGTTTTGTTTGTGTTTGTGTGTGTGTACATATTTTTGTTACCTGGTGGTGATGACTTTTGACCATTTTCTTGGTACATACAGTCTGGTGAGAACCCACCATGTGTGGGGTCAGCATTAGGTTACAGAAACTGATAAACAATTGGAAGTCAGTGCAAAGTCCCCATGAGGATAGAAGAACAAACGTGTGTCTGTGCAACATCAGATCAGTTTAATGTTTCTGGAGCAGAAGTCAGCAGGCTCTCTTTTTTTCCGTCAGTCGCAGAGCAAACAACATTCACAGCTGCGACAGAGCTGAAAGGAAGGAAAACAACATGGCTTTGTGTGGATGAGAGGGAGCTGATAGCGCTGGGAGAGTTTTGTCTGTTCGTCAGGGTTTACACAGCGTACGAGCTGCAGAACAAACCTCTGCCATCAGCACAGAGACGATCCGCTTCTCTGACTGCCAGCCAGACGGGCCTGACAGCTCCCTTTAATCCAACAAATAACAGCCTGCTTACTGGGGCTTTTCTTCTTCACTTCCATGAACACATTCTGACACAGCAGGGAGGAAGTCTGAAAGCTTGACTTCTTTAAATCATATCCAACTGAAGGCCCATGGGTCAAAAGTGGCCCTCGTTGCAAAAATATTTGGCCAAATAAACTATTGCATATTCTTTTGCTCAAAAAATTCAAATGTATAGTTTTGAAGTAAAAATAATGTTTTTTTATAAAACTAAAACTATCCCAAAACATATTTAGGATTTGTAATTGCCTTGTAGGATTTTATTGTTCAAACTTTTATCATTTTGTGTTTACAGTTACAATCTTAGCTGCTGTTGTCTCTCAGCAAGGTTGCTAGATCAAATTCTGCCCAGAGACCTTTCTGGGTGGTGTTTGCATGTTCTCTCTACGCATGCGTGGGTTTTCTCCAGGTACTGCAGTTTCTTCCTACAGACCAAAAACACTGCTTTTTTTGGTTATATTATTGCATTTATTTTTTATTGTTTAAAACACAATTTTCACATATTTAGTATGATTGTGTTGTTTCATTTCATTTACTTGCTTATTTGACAAGGATGTTGCACGCAAACAGAACAGAACAAGTCTCCAACTGATGCATTGCACACAGAGTATATAGTTACTACAGCTAATTCGTAACTCCAGTCCCTGGCTTTGGTTTTCAGATTGTTTTAGCTCAACTGTATTGTTAATGAGGATACTACATCAATATACTTCTGAGTTTAAAAGGGAAAAAAATCCTCTGATGTCTTGTATTCTTTATGAAGCAGTTACTTGAAATTTCTTTCTGCTATTTTCCAGGTTGTTTATGTAATTCTGATATGTGTATCATTCTTGCAAAAAACATGCTGTAAAACAAGATCAGCAAAAAGGACTAAATAAATAAAAGCAGTGATTTGAACAAAGACCAGCAGCATCCCAGCAGCCTTCCCTGTCGCTTCCCCTCAGATGGGCCGGCGTAGGCTGTGTTCTGATTCTTGGCCGCTCCTCTCGCAGATCTCCTGCTGGCACTGATGAGGTCATGGCTGTGTGGGCAGCCTGAACCATATGTTACACRAAAACTGTGTGAAAGTCCTAATTTGCAGCAAGGCATTATGCAAAGACTTTGCTAATGGGCCAACCGTCTGTTAGTCTCAGAAATAAATAAGGAATTGAAACATTACTTGTCTGAATGTGAACATGTAACATGTATGTAATCTCAGCTAGATTTCTTAGCAATCTTTATTACTTTTACCATCATTCTTTCTGTTTTTTCACATACTGTGACACATATCTTGACATTCAGTAAATGTTTTGTAGATACATTGCTAAACTTTATTGTGTGTCCACATGAAGTTCTATCAAGAATGATTGTGAAAGACTGATTGACAGAAATGTTTGTTGCCTGCTGCCACAAGAGGCAGTCAGTCTTGTAACTGCCTGTGAGCTGGTCTGTTAGTAAAATATCTCGTGCAACTGACAGATGTTAATGAAACTCTCTAAAAGTAGTAATTTAAATGACATCTACAACTGCTTAACTACTTCAAAATTACCACCAGAGCTAACCAAGCAATTTTGCAAATACTGTGAAAATTTAGTAGTCATTTAGTCATTCCAAACAAGTCATGTGAAATGCTAACAAATCACGCTCCCTCTTTGATTAAAACTTCAGGAGTCTAATTTCTCTAAAAGCCTCTGAGAATCTGTTTACGTTTTAAACCACCCTCACATCTGGAGTTCCACAAGGATGTATTCTTGGACCCATTCATATTTTTCATCTACATGCTTAGGCTCCATCTTCGAAAGTATAACATCTCATTTTATTCCTACACGGACGACACTCACACTATCTTCAGTTAAAGCTCAGTTATTCTTTTTCACTAAAACCAGTTTGACTGTCTCACTGAGGTAAAAGCTTAGATGAAATAAAAYTGAAGATTTTGTTTTCTTGGTCCCAGTAAAAACATTCGTTCCCAACTGCATTACTGTAACTACATTAGTGTCAGCCAGGCCGACATACCACCACTGTATTTAGTTCAGAACGCTGCAGTTCATCTTTCAACAAAAACAAAAACTGGGAACATGTCCCTGCAGGTGGCCAATGACCTTCAATGACTCGCTATTTCTTTTAGATTTATTCAAAAAAAAATATTGCTGACCCATCAGGCCCTGATTGGACATATTTCTGTTTCTTTCTGACCTCATGCAGCCTTATCCACCCGATCCATTAGATCTAAAGATTCTTAGTTTTCCTGAGGTCCAGGCTGGTCCTCAGAGATGATCAGGTCTTTGGTTGTCCTGAGGTCCAGGTTGATCCACAGAGGTGGTTAAGTCTTTAGCTGATTAATGGGAAACGAGCCCAGCAAATAAGCGTCATCAGCCTAACCTGACCTGTATAAAGATTTTTATCTCTTGGCGGATKTCCAGCTACGATAACTATTAGAAAAAACATATATTTCCAAAGTTGACTGGACTATCGTTTTAATACCTTTTATTGTTATAAGTGGTTGCAGTAGGCACTTTTGTCCAGAATTTTCACGAGCTTCAAACTTTAAGCCCTTACAGGATATTAAAGCAGTGGAGCTATTTCCTCTGCTGTATATCCCTTCATCCTGTCCAGAGTTGGACTGGGGTTGTTTTTTGCTTTTTCTGTATAGGGAGAAGGAGGAGGAGGAGGAGGAGGAGGGGAGCCTCATTCATTCACATGAAGAAGAATAATCGGAGGAAGAGGAGGAGGAAAGAGGGGCGACAGGGAATCCCAGAAAAGGAGAAACGTAACCTTCTGTCGCTGCATTTCAGGAAGTCTTGGATGACTGAGTGAAACGAAATAGTGGGAAGTGGTTGTAGAAGACGCGCGCGCGCGTGGAGTGATGTTTACAGGAGAGGACAGGCGAATCAGCAGCGAGCAGCTCAACTCCACCACGGCGCGCTCACCCTCCCCTCCATCCCTGACGTAAAAAAAAAAAAAAATCCGCTTGTTTTCGCGGAGCTCCGGATTCGCGTCGCTCTTTTGTCATCACAAGCGCAAAGCACTTTCTTGTGCAAACAGAGGCTGAACCCGGCGTCCCCCCATTCCCCCTCCCTCCAGGGATCGTTGTTTTGTTTTTTAAGGAGGCCTCAGCAGCTGGACAGGCACCGTGGCGCGCGGACCTCTGGCAAAATGTCAAGGATGCTCCGAGAAGGACCTGACTGCGCATCATGAGGTAGACGGCATGTCTGACAACAGAGGAGGAGGACGAGGAGGAGGAGGACACACGGGAAGCTGAAGCTGAAGACAGCGTCCCCTTTCTAACAACCTCATGGACATGTGTGGGTTTCTGTGACACGGACCTCCGTCTGCACCGTGCGCCTTTTTGTGGGGGCGCGGGTTTGTTGCTCGTCGGGTGTGAACTGGAATGCTGGAGCCCCACCGACCGKCTCTAAACACCGATTCTAAAGAGTCACAGGACCACTTTGGTTGGAAGGGAGCCCCTCCTGTTAGGAGCMCCGCAGCTCCCTACTGGACCTCGCCATGGATGACTCGGGGATAATAAGACGCAGGAGGCTGCAGGTGAGTCCCGCCTTTATTCTGACCTTTTCTATCACGGACACAAACACTTCCACACACTTCCACATTCCTACACATTTTTTGACCCATTATTATTAATAAGTCCTCATGACAGAGAKTTTGGCATGCAAAGGTTGAGGTAGTCCAAAACTGAACTGAAACTGATTTTAAATGGACCAACAAATTATMATTTATAATCTCTTTTAAAGACTGAATTTATCTGAACTGTCCAGTCTTTTTCAGTTTAAAGGGATATTCCGGTCATTTTGATGGGAGGCAGGGGTGTTGGAGAGGAGTAGTCTGCCACGAACTGTCATTAAATATTTTGATAATTTGTGGCAGCTTTTAAATTTGATATTTAATTATTATAAAAATATTGGTCACCCACCACACTAACAATACCCTATCTTGTCCTAAAGTGAAATGAAAATCCCTGTATTTTTGTCTTCCCTTAAAG